AAAGAGTGCCTCGAGAAGCGGCTGCTTCCTCTCCTGAAGGCCCACAACGTCCCAACAATCTTCTGGCCGGATTTGGCCTCATGCCACTACTCCAAGGACGTGCTGAAGTGGTATGCGGACAATAAGGTCAATTTTGTGCCGAAAATGTTCAACCCTCCCAACACTCCGGAGCTCCGCCCCATCGAGAAGTACTGGGCGATTATGAAGCAGCACCTTCTTAAACGACCTAAGGTAGTGAAGACAGTCAAGGAACTGAAGAAAGTATGGGTTTACATGCAAAAAACGGTTGATTCACAGGTTGTGCAGAATCTTATGGCCGGGGTTAAGGGCAAGGTGCGGGCATTTGCGTATGGACTGTAAATAAAATACGAGTAAAATGGTAAAATGAAGTTTAATAGTTATTTCTCAATCCCTGAAAATTTGATGGCAATCGGATGAAAACTCGAATTTTGCGAATCAATTTTGTGTGTGGCAATTTCATTGTGGACACCCTTTAAGCAACTGATATCACCCATTCAAAGGAGGTTCCCTTTGATAGCGAATAGCTACTTTTCTAATTTTCATCAAAAACGTTCAAATGATTTTGAGAATTTACAGCACTGATGGGAACTTTACGGAGAATTCCAAGCAAATTAAAAAAAATGGAAGCTCCAGTGAATGCTTAGAAAGAGCTTAAAATTCTAAGAGAATCTAAGGACGAATTTTAAGATTTTTTTTGAGTTTTCTACAGAGAATTTCTGGACTGTTAAAAAAACATTTTCAATGGACTTCCAGAGAGAATTTCACGTTTATTTTAGAAGAATTCTGGAAAGAACTTTCAATCAAATAAAAGCCTGTAAAGTTTTAAGAAGAATTCTGGAAAGAACTTTCAATCAAATAAAAGCCTGTAAAGTTTTAAGCGAACTTCGAACGGGTCGCAGAACCAAATTTAAGATCCAGCAAAGGTGCTGCTGTGTTGGAAATGACCCATTTAACCTTCGGCTTAATCGCATTCAGTTTTATGATTGATTCAAATGTATATTACTAAACCAAATTGCCAAAATTCCGGGAGAAAAACGGTAAATTGCTAATCGAGATTTGCTGGTCACCATGAAGATGAAGGAGATCTGGATGAATCAATACCCCTAGGGTTGAATTCGGAAGCAGTCAGAAAAGAACTTCTAAGGGTGAGAAAATTACCATGGACATCTTCTCTTAGCTGATGGAGTTGTGTTACCAAAAACGGGTAGGCACTGCACCTGGATTTTTTTGAAAATTGCCGGAAAATCAGAGAATATCAGGGAATTTTGTTTGTTCAAAAGAGTGAAACTCACTGGCGTGCACAGGGTGAGGCAAGGTGGGGCAATTGCCCCACCTTTTATAAATAAGATTTCTATTTCCACATTTACAAAATTATGATATAAAATAACTCGATTTCTTGATAACTTGATTTGAAGGTAAAATAACTTCATTTCATAATATAAGAGCACTGAAAACCATTTATTGTGTCAAATCCTTTGAGATGGTGCCTGAAAATTGCACCACAAAGGTGCATGAAGGGACAAACTTCAATGAAATTTTTTGGTCAAAAAATTGCACCACAAGGTGCATACAAAAAATTTCTGGTGTGATTTTTTTTTTCACGGTGGTTCATGGAGAGTTAAAAGGAGAGGGTAAATTTAAGGTTAAGAAAATTCACCTTCATGGTGGTAAATCGAAGAAAAAGTTTTGTTGAATATTTCTGGTGTAAAAATATCATCAAGGTGGTGCATTGAGGGACTAATCAAAATAAAAAGCTCTGGTGGAAAAATTGAATCACGCAAAAAATTTGCAGGTGCACATTTAACTGAAAATTTCTTGTAGAAAGTTCGCAATACTGTGGTGAATGTAGAAGCAAGGTTTATTCATTTTTCTGGTGCATAATTTGCATCGTTCTGATGAATGCAAGCTTCATTGAAAATTTATGGTGGAAAACTTGCACCATTCTGGTGCATGAAGAGGCAAAGCCTGAAAGTTGCACCACAAAAGTGCATGGTGAAACAAACTTCACTGACAATTTGTGCTGCACCGTTCTGGTGAATGGAGGAGCATGCATTATTGAAAATTTCTGGTGCAAAATTTGCATCGCTCTGATAAGAGAAATGAACAGAAAATTTCTGGTGGAAAACTCGCACTGGTCTGGTAAATGAAGGCACAAGCTTTTTTTGAAATTAAGCTATATTGAAAATTTCTGGTAGAAACTCTCCACCGTTCTGGTGAACAGATGGGCAAGCTTTTCGGAAATTGTTTGGTCTTGAACCTGCATCCCTCTGTTGAATAGTGAAACTAATTTTAATAATAATTTCTGGCGTTAAATTTGCATCATTCTGATGATTGGAGGGAAGCTGCTTTACTGAAATTTTATGATGAAAAATCTAAAAATAGGGGCAAGCCTTATTTGGTGAAAAACCTGCAAATTTCTGATGATAGGAGAAGCAATGTCTGGTGGAAAAAGAAGCAAGATTGGAGAAGCAATTTTTATTGAACATTAACGGTGGAAAATTAGCAGTGCTCTGGTCAATTGAAGTTTTCTGGTGTAAAATTACCTGGGGGCAAGTTTGTATTAAAAATTTCTGGTGTAATATTTGCAACAGTCTGCTGCATAGAGGGGCAAGCTGAATTGAAAATTCCTGATGTTAAAATTGCACAGTTCTGGTGAATGGAGGGGCAAGCTTTATTGAAAATTTCGGATAGAAAAACTATAACGTTTTGATGAATGGACGGACAACTTAAACTTGACTTCTGAGAAGAACCTCACGGGTATTGAATTCTGAGGACAGTTCCAAAAGAAAAGATGTCTGGGAATGATTTGATGAAAATTCTGCGAATAGTTTTTAGTGAATCCTGCAGATAGTTACAAGATAATTTCGAAAAGAATATCGAAAGAATTAAATTTTGAATGAAATTCCAAAGGGATGTTGAGGAAAATTTAAAAGGAATCCGAATAATAATTTCAAGGTCATTCTGGGAAGAATTTCTGTAGAATACCGAGGAAATTCTTCTGAAACTTTAGGGGAATTCCAGTTCCAAGGTTCTGAGAAAAAAAGTTCAAAAATATTCCGATAAGAACCTCAAGGGTATTGAGTTTTTAGGACAGTTCCAAAATATTTCTGGAGAGAATTCAAATAAAATTCTGTGGATAATTTCTAATACATCCTGCAGATAGTTCCAAGATAATTTCGAAAAGAATACCGAGAAAATCAAATTTGGAATGAAATTCCAAAGGGATTTTAAGCAAAATTTCAAGTGAATTCCGAGGATAATTTTTAGCTCATCTAGATAATTTCTCATCATTCTAGCTTACTTCGTCCAAATCAGTCCCCTAGGAATCATCAAAAATATTTTCCCGAGAGAAAATATTCAGATAATCCCGAGCAACCTGATTCTCAATAGGACTAGTAAGACCCAAACTGAAATTATGGGAATTCTCGAATTGCTTAGCAAGTTTCTGAGCTTTTTCTCAATTTGTGATCAAAATTTTACCACCGTCTTTAAGCGCTGGAATAGGCCTTTGAGGTTTTTTTTCAAAATTTTTGTGAGTTTCCAAAAGGGTTTGGAACTCGGGTCTAATTTAGAAACATTATTTTCAAAAGTTTTGTTCCTCAGGACAAAGAATCGCTTTTAAATTTGTTTTTGCAAATCCCGCCAGATAGTCTTCATGGCAGGATCGTGTTTTTTTTTATATTGTCTCCTACGGACATTTTTAAGACGGATCAAGAGCTGAAGATCGTCGTTTATTATAATTGAATCGAATTTAACCTCGCATTTTGGTACTGAGGCAGCTCTTGCTTCAACTATAGAAGTAGTCGGAGATTCAAGAGCATAATTAATTTCATCTTTGGTTTGCAAAGGAATGTTTATATCGATATTAAATAAATGTTCGATATTGCTCCCAATCAGCTCTATGGTAAGTGAAATTAGAGCTGTTGGGATTACAAATTATTTCTTGGGATATTTCATTGCAGCAAATGTATCATTTCGGTTAAAGCCCTACTATTGCAACCATTTGACGAACCGATCATCATCCACATTGTCGATGGGACTAAATTGCCAATTCAACAAACAGTTTGCATTGCAGAAGATGAACCACCACCGCACCGGAGCAAAAAATAAATAAAATTAGCTAAATTGAACAGTAGGGAAACGGTGGTGGGAGGACAGCACCATCCACCACGCACTTTGAAGGACATCCAATCCCCAGATTAAATACACCATAGAAAAAAAAATTGCCCCTCCTTAACAAAATTCCTATGCACGCTAGGAAACTACCTTTTTAAACAATGAGCCGTCGATTTCTCGCGAATAAATGATCGCACATGCAAATTATCTATACCACTAAGAAGATTAATGTTCCCTCTACCAGCTGGTATGCTTTGCTAACAAATGCATTTACACCGTAATGAAATGTTGGCATCGAAATGGTCCGTCTTTTTATTTAAAAGCTGATTAGGATGGTCCCCATTTAAATTTAATTCCGGAATCTATTTTTTTTAATTTTAGATCATAAGTATCGGTAAAGTTGTAGAACATATGACCGATACACTTGATAAGTGCAAACGCCCTCATTTATACTGTTTGTTGCAAAATGCACACTATTGCAACATTTGGTTCATGTCGCGCGACATATTCCATCATCATCCGTCTGAACATTAAAAATCACCCTTGCCTACCCTACAGCAATCAAAATGCCACCCCCTACGACGCTACACAGCGAGTCTCGTTTATGCTACCAAATAGAAAATAATTCCAAACGTCAAATGCAAAACTTTGTTTTCATCCCTCTCCGTCTCCTTCGATGTTTGCGAGGAAACGACGAAAGAGGGGGCGGGGGGTGGGGAGGAGATTGTTATTGGTCGTGCTGCGCCTGAGTGCCTCCTTTCCTACTTCACAATTTATTCGCGTTCAGAGACATCGAACTCAGTTCAAAGATGGCCACACTTGTTTTCACATCACCACTTCCTGAGCAAAAAAGCATCGAGTTTCGTCGTCGTTTTTTGCTCGCCGTTTGATTCGCTTCCAAACACGTGAAAGGTGTTCCTCATGGTGAAAGTGATTTAGATTCCCATTTGGGTTTCTTAGAACGGTCGTCCCAGCGGTGGAAAAAGTCTAAATTTAGGCGATCGATAAACTTCTGTTTTGACGTCCGTCCAGCAGCATCCAAACTCTCCGCAGAGAGGAAGAAAACGGATAAAGGATGGCAAGGAAGTGTGCATTTCTAATTAAAAATTAAAACTGAATCGCCCGTGGTGCCGGATACGGTGCGGAGGTGTGCGAAAGACATGTAAAGGATGTGATTAGTGAAGGAAACCGGACTCAACCCTACGTCTTCCAGCTGTTTCTAATGAAACAGCCTAGTAGTGGTGTTAATTGTTAGTTAAATGTAGGAAATCAGAAAAGCAGTTTGGTAAATCCAACGTCTTCCCCTAGTGTTAAGGAAAAGCAGTCTTCCATATTGCCTAGAGATTTAGAGTAAGGAATTTTATACGATATGAAAAAGCTCTCCCCAGCGGATAAATTCCGCCGCAGATTGGCTGCCATGAAGAAGGCTACCAACAAGAGCAAAAAGGATACGAAATTCTTCGAGCATGATGTTCGGCTTAATGAAGGCGAAACGGACGGTGAACCTCCATTGAATACCGAACAGGAAACCCCAGATCCTCCGGATATCATTCCGGATTCGTCCACCAATCCGGAAGAACCTCATCCACCTCCGGTTGCCTCCGTTCCGAGTCCAACGTCTTCCGGATCATCCGCGGAACCGAAGATGAAATCGACGGTCTACGTTAATCAAGCTCCCCGTAGCAATAATTACTTTAAGAAACGCAAAGCGCTGATGAATAACAATAGGAAAAAGTTCCTGAAAAAGTTACGCCAATTGCAGCACCTGCAGGCGCATCACCCCGCGCTTTATCTGCCTGCCGCTGGTGGTGGATTCCGACAGTTGACGGCAGCGCTCCATCATGGTCCAACCGGGAAGCAGTGCTGCTGCCAGTGCGCATGCACCACGAACAATAATCTCGAGCTACAACTCCAACACCACCCTCATCGGCTGCAGCAAAGTCTTCCGCAACAACAACAGTACCAGCCGTCAACCGATCGGGAAGCCTACACGGAATCGTCCTCTCAACAACCACCGACCGGCACCGATTTGGCACTGGTCAAGTCATCCGACGGAGGCGAGGGCCCTCCATTGGGCATACCGATACCAACCGCCGGATTGCCAAATCAATTTGCCTACAATCATCATCATCACCCCAACAATCAATACTACCATCGTCATCGCCTGCCACCGCCGCCACCACCGTTGCAACATCAGCAGCTTCTTCTGTCTCAAGGGCAGCGGTTTCATCTTCAAAGGCGGCCACGACCACCGGCGTTAGGACGAGAGTCCTCGTGCTCTTCCTTCCGAGTGGCGGCTGCTGCAGTGCCCTACTGCACGAAAGAGATGCACAGCGTTGTGAGGTATGTACCGCATAGTGATTTTCATTTGAGCTGCGTCGCCTAGAAGGTAGGCAGCAAGGGGGTGTGAAACTATTATCTTGCGATGGTGAACATGGAAAAAATGAGTGGATAGCAGAAATTATAATCACGAAGTCGTGTCAAAGTGGATGTACTACACAGCTACTAGCTACCAGCAGACTATGCCGTGATATGTGTGTAATTGAAATCTGCAATAGCACGGTGTGCAGGTCTGGTGCAGGTGATTTACTGAGTGAGATTGGTGGTACGGTGATTGGGTCCCGGTGGGTATGCAATAGGTTGTGCATGGTCGGGTGATAGCATAAACTTTGAATGACCCTTCACTGCTAGGGGAATTGAATTACACCTGGCTTTTCGTGTTGTGTTGATGCGGATACACGACTTAGTACTTACTATACTGCCGCTATTCGCATGTCCGTCCCATAGCGAAAATCGGCAAGACGAAAAAATCGCGTTTTAAGTTTGCTTCGTACCATTGCTTCTTACGTGATGGGACAACCAACGTGACTGTCTTTCCAAACTTTTTCAGAACAAAGTTGATGAGTTCATCCAGTATTATGAAAATATGGGTAGTTAGCTACCATTTGCATTGAAAAAATCAGTTTTGACAAAAACGACTATGGGACCGACATGCGAAGAGCGGCAGTATAGGTCAAGTGTAGTTTGTGGAAAATTTTCCTAGTGCCGCGTAAAGAGTAATTATTCAACATTGTATGGCCTTTTCAAGTCAACTGCATCTACACAATTCACACAAAAAGTGTGGCTAGCTGTGCTCCGTGATTTTGTAACCATGACAGCAGGGTTGGCATGCTCTTTTTTTTACACAAATTGTTCTATTGTTAATAAATGTTCACTCAGTTGATGAAACTTTGTTTAACTTTTAGCAATTGATGGAGCAAGATCAGAGTTCACTTTAGACACGCATAAAGTAGATAAATTTGAATTCATTGAAAGTCCGAAATGAGCATCAATTATTTCTCTTTTCGTTTTTGTGACGCAAAAATGAGAACAGCTTTTCGTCTACATACAAAAGTACTGTGTTTTATACGTACCTATAGAGTCAGTTCAAAACTGTAAAAATAAAGCCACTTTTGCACCGCAAGTTTTGTTATTATTAACAAATTACTTTTAGCTTTTCAATAATATTTTTTGCAGTGAAGGAATGCATTACAACTTTCTACAAACATAAATATATTTTTACTAGTTAATTTATTTGTAAGGCTCAACCGCGTTAAATTTACGGAGCCGATATTTCATGTTAAAGTTACAAAATGTACTTAATTCTAGTGCTCTTTTTCGGAACGAATGTAGGTCGGATTCTGTCTTAGAGAACTCTTTTTCGGGGCGAATGTCGATCGGATCCTGTCTTAGTCAGCCGATCCCTTCGCTGACTCGTTAACTCCTGTTTTCGCACGTGTTCCTGGACCGCAACGCTCAGCTCGGCCACTTTTTCAGAATAGTCTTTGATACCATATTTTTCGTAACAAGCTTGGTCCATGTGGTTCTTGTGTACAATTCCATTCTGCTGTTCCACTGTTTCCATTTCCGTTTTTCGTTGATCTCCTCTTCTAGTACCTCTATCACTTCTTCCTCCATAATTTGCGTTTCGTTTGACACCACTCCTTTTCCAACGACTACTGCATAGGAATTGGCTTGACCCTTCTCTTGTTTCCGTTTTTCATGTTGGCTCCCGGTTTTCCGAGATGGACAAGAATCTCTACGGTGCCCTTCCGATTGACACAAAAAAAACACTTGTTCTTGATGCACGGTTCCACGAATCTGCTGCTTCCTCTGTTGATCCGCTAATGCCGCTATCCCTTCTGCTGGTGATCCTTTGCTGGTCATCCGCTCTTTCCACAGTTCGTCATAATAAGTTTCAACATTTGGTTTTACATTTCAATTGGTTAGCCTTTGACTCTTCAACTTTGTTCTAGTTAATTGGTTATTCTAATGTGATGATTGCGTTTAGTGCTAATTTACAGGACACCCTTTTAAGGGCTTGTTTCCGTTTGAATTTAAAAATTTGATAACCTACCTTGACCTACTTGACCACAGAAACCTACCTAACTACTTGAACTAGGTTGCCAAATCACGGTGGTTTGATCGCAGACAGGCGACTCTGAACCTTTCCAGCGTGGACGTCTTTCGCTCCTCGAGTGTTTGAAGACCGGTCAGGTGGAGAATCTCAGAATTACGAGTTCGCGGTGGGCTGTTAAAGATCATTCTGAGGATCTTGTTATAGATCCTCTGAAGCTTTAGGTGGTGGCACTTAGTACAACTCTCCCAGATTGGCATACCATGCTCAATAGCCGGCAGAATGATCTGCTTGTGGACAGCAAGCTTGTTTTTGAGGGACAGGGTGGACTTCCTGTTTATGAGAGGATAGAGCGACCTGATCAAGATGTTACACTTGGTGAATGCCTTGTCCACATGGAATCGGAATAGCAATTTGCTATCGAGGTTGAGACCAAGGTAGACTACTGCACTCGATTATTCAATGGGAGTGCTATCAAGATGGACCTTGACGTTAGCAGATGGAACAAGCCGAGGTGAATTCGAGTGTGGAAACAGAATGGTTTGTGTTTTAGCTGCATTGATACAAATCTTCCAGCTCTTGAAATAGTCGGATAGAACATCCAGGCCTGATTGTAGTTTACTCGCCAGAGCACGGATCACTCGACCCTCCGACGTGAAAATGTTGAATAGGATAGGCCCAAGCAGGCTACTCTGAGGGACCCCTACATCAACGTTGAACGTATCAGAGAGGACATTGTTCAAGTGGACCTGGAATGATCTGCCCGACAAGTAGTTTTTGATGATCTTCACGAGGTAGATCGGAAAGTTGTATCGATGCAGCTTGTACACTAGGCCATCATGCCAGACATTGTCGAACGCCTTCTCGACGTCCAACAATGCCATGGCAGATGTATTGGAAACGGACTTGTTCCGTTTGATGATGTTAGCAACCCATGCGAGTTGGTGGATGGTAGAGTGGCCTTTCCTGTTATTATCATTTGAAAACACCAGCAGACGGCTGAGTATCAACTTTTCGAATAGCTTCGAGATGGAGGACAAGAGGCTGATGGGGCGATAGCTTTTGGCACTGGTAGGATCTTTGCCAGACTTGCGGATTGGAATGACTTTGTCTAACTTCCAGCATGCAGGGAAGTAGCCAAGCACCAAACACTTATTAAAGACCGTTGCAAGGTGCTCGAAGAAGTCAACATTCAAGTTTTTCAACTCGAGGTTGACCACTCCATCGACACCAACGGCCTTGATGTTCTTGGTTGATTTAATCGCTGCTATCACCTCATCAGCCGATATTCTACTTTCGTCAGCGACTCTAAATATTGCCTCCGATACTGCAGGCTCGTGGGGACTCACCATGGCTTGGCCAAGGTTATGTAAATTTACAAAGTGTTGACCAAGAGCATTAGCCTTTTCAACTGGGGTTATGAGTAAAGATGGATCCGAATTCTGATGAGGAAAGGAAAGGGAAGGAATGTGCCTCGGCTTGTTTTTTTTTTTGACAAAGGACTACGTTTTTGATTTCTACACTTTGTGAAAACTGAAAATGGAACATGTAACAAATTATGAAAGATTTTGAATGTTAATAACTCAGCTGCCCCTGAACCAATTTCAATCATTTTATCACCAATCGATCAGGGCTACGCTTACGCATCGATATCAATGATTTTGACTGTTTATGTTCAACAAGAAACTATTGAAAAAGTAGTAAATGTCAAACATTGTCCAAAAGCGTCGAAATAATTAACAAATCCACCAATTACGTACATGCATATGCTGCTTCCCCAGCACAGTCGTCAGAGAGTAGTAAGTAGACGAAACATGTCGATATAGCATGACGACGAGGTTCGGTAGTTCAGTGGTTACATCCAATCCCCTACCCCCCCCCCCCTTGAAATTTTTCACTTTGCCTTATTCTATACCCACTAGATTTAAATAAAGAACCAATTCTGCTTTAACCGATCGCATCACTTACCACAGTGAATCCTAATCTAAAAATAACCTACCTCACTTACACTACTATCCTTCCCGAGATAGCAGTGGAGATGTAGAGGTATTCTCGGTCTCTAGTAACAACCGGACGTCGAACTAATCATCCTTCCCTCCCCAAAAGACCGGGAAGACGTGGCCGGCGCTGTGTATTGATCTATAGAATGAATTAATGTGCTTGTACATTAAAGATGGAAAGCTTATCCCATGCACCCATCTATGTAGTTCTCTGTGCAAGTGGATTAGTTGTGATCATTCATGGAGAAGCAACTACGAAGTGCACGGTCAGATAACGTTAACTCGACGGCAAACACATTCATTGTGGATGATAGAAGAGCATAGCAGAAATAGTGCGAAATAGGAAGCTATGGTCATCACAAAAGAGGAAATTGAAAAAGCGAATTGGCTTTCACCCTTCTGCTTCTAAGCCCCTTACAGTCATCGTCATAGCATCGCATCGCTTTTGGTTCTAGGGCACTTGCTGGTTGCAATTTTCGATCCGGATTCACTGTGATGCGATCAGTTGTAAGCAGCAGAAATTTCCTTCCCAACTCTCTTGTGGAATCTTTTAGTGGCTCTGAAAAGGGCCGGTTTTGATAGATTTCGACGGAAAAATTAAGAGCGTTCACCACAAATACGAAGAGCCAGCTGAATGTCCTTTGGCATAATTGTGACACGCTTGGCGTGAATGGCGAACAGACCGACCAGATAGGTCGGTTTATTTCACTCATCGAGGGTATTCTTATACCTGCGTCGAGTAGCATATTGTTAATACAGGAAGGGTACAATACATACAGTGGGAAGCAAAATACTGAAAAGGGGAGGAGTTTCGCTTCTTATGCTACGGGCACAAAACGAGACACCACCGTCGAAACGACTATCAGTTATTCTCTACCGAAGCGAACAGCTAAACTATGGCATCGAAAACCATTGGAAAGGCCGCCAAGAAGTCCGGAAAGGCGCAG